CTACAGCACTCCAGCAAAGCCAAGATCTTCATCTGTAACTCAATTCAGTGGGGACCAATGGGGTCTCCAGAACAGAACTACGGGAATGAAAAACAAACAGGAAGTGCAAACCAAGTTTACTCCCAATCTCTGGTCTGTATCCATAACCACAGGGCCAACAACACCAGGTGTTCTGAAATATCTCCCTGCCTAGGCATTGGTCATGGAAAGAAAAATCTTGGTCAGTGTCTAATTAATTTGCATGATTATCACTTTGAGAACTTGTATTTCAAGAAAAGAAAATATAAAGCTCTGACTTCTACAGCAGTTTCAAGGGCTTGCAAGAGGAGTTAATAAACAGAAATGGATGTGTACAGTACTGTAATCTGTCTGTCTCTTACACTCTTACACACACGCACACACACACACACAGCAGCTGAAATGAGTAACAGGGAAGAGCAGAGCAGTCCAAAGAACAGATATCCCAAGAGCAACAAGACCAAACAAACAGAGGACTCAGAGTAAGAAGTGAGCATGTCTAAAAAGTAATTGTTTCATGATTGGGAAGGGGGGTGTTTTATGCAGGGGAGGGCTTGGAGGGGAAGGTTTGTAAATGTATGTACAGAGCAAATATTTGCCTTAATCTTATTCAAGCATTTCATTCCCACGGTTTGTGAATGGGTGAGTTAATATTCCCCCAATTCATTACTTAGTAGGAATGCATTCCCTCCCTGGCTGCCCAGGCGGTTTCAAGAAGTGGGAGCCTCTGGTGTGTGTCTTAACATAAGCAGGCACAGGACACAAAACCTCTGCCTAGGTATTTCAGGTTATGCTCATCCTAAAGAATAGACAGAGACTCCAAATGGCCATTCATGGGAAAATCAACCTGAAATCACTCTGTCTTCTCCATTTCTCTTTCCAAAAACCCAAAGTTCTGAGTCTGGGGACCAGCAGAGTCAGAACTCCCGGGACAGCCAAGGGCAAGTCTGAGAGAGAGAGAGAAAGAGTGTGTGGCATGCGAGTGAGCGCACACGCGTGCGCCACACTGCCCCTGGGGACCAGCAGCTCTTACCCACAGGCCCGCCCCTTCCTCCAAGCTCTGAGGACTGCCTTTATTTTGATATCTAGATATGTCACAGGACAAAAGGATGTATTTCCTTCTATTAACTGATCACACAGAACAGAGGAAAGTGACCAGGAGCTTTGAATCCCATGAAGGTACAAAAGTCATACCATAGCCAGGCACTGGTGGCTCACACCTATAACCTTAGCTACTCAGGAGGCTCAGATCTGAGAATCCCAGTTCAACACCAGCCCAGGAAGGAAAGTCCATAAGACTCTTAACTCCAACTAACCAACAGAAAACCAGATGTGAGGTGGTGGCTCAAAGTGATAAAGCACGAGCCTTGAGCAAAAGAGCTCAGGGATAAGCACCCAGGCCCTGAGTTCAAACCCCACAACTGACAAAAAAAAAAGTCACACCATTAACTCCCAAGAGCAGTCATCAAAGCAGTCCAGGAAGCAGACATGTGGCTCAAGTAGTAAAGTATCAGCCTTGAGTGGAAAAAAAAAAAAGCCAGGGGCTGGGAAGGTGGCCCAGTGGTAGAGTACTTGCCTTGTATGCATGAAGCCCTGGGTTCGATTCCTCAGCACCACATAAGCAGAAAAAGCCAGAAGTGGTGCTGTGGCTCAAGTGGTAGAGCACTAGCCTTGAGCTAAATTGCTGAGGGACAGTGCCCAGGCCCAGAGTTCAGGCCCCATGACCAACAACAAAAAAAAAGCCAAGTAAAAGCTTAAGGCCTTGAGCTTAAACCCCAGTACCACCCAATCCCAACTAAAAAAATTCCAAGCTGCTAAACACTAGACAATGAAAATGTGATAGAGGAACTCTCCTTAAATGAAAAAAAAATTATTGCTGTATTATTAATGTTCTAAATTAAAAACATTACCTTTAGTCTTTTGAGACTAGGTCCCAGGCATTGACTTTGTTAGGTACATTATATGCTTTTTAATCCATCCAACCACCCAAAAACAACAATAATTTTCACTGTCATTTAATTATACAATTTACATGTTATTTCATTTAATATTTGTCTCTTACAAGTTATTTCTCAAGTCTTATATCATTCTTCCCCAAGTAAGCACACGACACCCAGCAAGCTCAAAGATCTGCCCTCCTCTGGAAACTGAGTTTGTCAAAAGATGAAGTCTAACCTGCAAGAGACTATCTCTTTAAAAAAAAAAACAAAACATTTTTTAACGGGTTAGTACTGGTGTTCAAACTCAGGGCTTTGCACTTGCTTGGCTGGCACTCTACCACTTGAATAACACCTCCAGTCTTGCTTTTTCTAAGATTTTGGAGATGGAGTTTAGTGAACTTTTCTACTCAGGCTGGCTGGAGTAGCTAGAATTATAAACCTGATGAACCTCCTCTTTACGAAATGCTGGGGTGACGGGCTGATTCGCTCCCCTCTAGGGAAGGCAGGGAAGCTTGTCATGTAGTCACCTGGATTGGTAGGTGCTTGCAGGATTATGTCACTAAACTTACAGATTAGCCTCTCATGGGAGAGACATCTGACAGAGACCCACAGAACATTTGTCACAAGGAATAAGAAATCGACAGCACATCACAGTGAGGGGATTAACAGGGACTCACACCTGGAGAATCTGGCAGCCTGCCCAAAACCAGGTATGAGTCACAGGCAACAAATGCAGACACAGGGCCAAAAGAATTGCAGAACACATTCCCTTTACACGACAGAGGCCTAAGATCCAGGGAGGTGGCAGACATCAACACAACTAGATACAAGTTGTGATTTCCCACCCACACGTCTGCTGAGCAAGCCCAGCTCAGAGGGAAGCTCCTGGCCCCCAACGATTGTGGTGTCCAAACACAGTTGTTTTCCTCCACACTCATGGACCTTGGTTCATACTCTCTCCCACAAACGCCCAAATCCACACATGCCCAAGCCTCTTATACAAAATAGCACAGGACAGAATACAACCTAGACTCATCGTAGGTCCTATATACCTTGCTTTCCCCCCTTACTTTTTTGTTGTTGTTTTTTTTTTGGGGGGGGGTCTGGTCGTGGGGCCTGAACTCTGGGCCTGGGCGCTGTCCCTCAGCTCTTCAGCTCAAGGCTAGCGCTCTACCACTTGAGCCACAGCGCCA